CCTCTCACTGTCCTCAAGCTCTAGGTGATTGAGTGATCCTGACACAAAGAAAAGGTGAAAGGGTGACCAAAGAATATTCCTGACATCAGCCTTTGGCCTGTGCGTACATGTGCAGACACACGTACGCTATGACACGTATGTGCTGACATACATGAGCATGAACTTATGCATACCTACACATGAAAAGAAGGAGAAAGAATGAAATAGAAGGAAGGCACACAGCCATGTACCTCTGGCCTCCACACATATGTGCATACATGCACACAGGAACACATACATGCAGGAACAAACACAAAAATGTAGAGTCTGATACCAGATTATGAATCAATAGTGCTATATTCTTTTTATATTTATTTATTTTACTTGATGTTTTGTCTGCATGTGTGTCTTTGCACCATATGTATACCTGGTACCCTTGGAGGTCCGAAAAGGCTGTTGAATTTCCCAGAATTGGACTGTGAATGAAGTTACAGCTGCCCTATGGGCGCTAGGGACAAACCTGAGTCCTCTGGAAGAGCAGCTCCTAATGTAAGGGTAAAAATTAAAACAGCTCAGCAGAGACCACAAACAACTTGGCAAAGACCGCAGGACAGCTTGCTGAGCTTACTGAGAGTAGCCATAATAAAAATATCAAGCCCCTCTAGGGACGAGGTGACCAGAAATGTAGAAACAACCAAAGACATATCTTGACCAGTCTAAACATGCCCAAGTGAGTAATGGGCCACCTGGTGTTTATCCTAGAAGGTCTGAGGCTTCATGGTCAAAAATAGTGGGCCATCCAGCCTGTCAAAATGATTGCTTACGCAAAGTGCTGATGTTTGAAATATCCAATCATATGTAATCGCGCCAGAATTTCCCACTTTTCCCTTCCCCCTTGTGCCTCCCCCTATAAAAGTTCTAAACTTCCTGGGGTCTTCATCGAAATTCTCTCCCCTGCGTGGGATGAGTTTCGATCCAAGGGCCCTTGTTAGTAAACTGCCTTTTGCCATTGCATCAAGTAAGTCTCTTGTGTCTCCTTGGGTGCGCGCTAATTGGGACTTGAGTTGGGGTCCTCTTTCTGGGTCCTTACACTAACTGTTGAGCCAGCTTTCCAGCTCCCGATGGTGGTATACTCCTAAAATAGAATATATTCAGGTTGTGACAATGACTATACCTTTACACAACACGTGAGACTAATGCACGTTAGTGCCATTTCCACAAGGATACCATGAGATCCAGAATGACACACACTTTTGATCTGCATCTTGAGGCAGGAAGACACACCTTTAACCTGGACCACACCCTCTGCTGGAAGACTAAATAAAGACATGGAAGAAGGAAGGTTTTGCTCTTCGCCTGCTTGCCCTCTCCTTGCTAGCACACCCATCCCTTTCCTGGCATCAGAGCCTACCTCTCTGGGATTCCAGCAGATACAGAAGACCAGCTGAGACACTCAGCCTAGATTCCTGGACTTTCTGCTCACAGCCAGCCATTATTGGATTCGTTGGACTGCAGCCTGTAAGTCATTATTTCTATAAAAAGTATTTATTTCCATTTTCCATGCACTGGTGTTTTGCCTGCATGCATGTCTGTGTGAAGGTGTCAGATCTTGGAGTTACAGACAGTTGTGAGCTGCCATGTGGGTACTGGGATTTGAATCCGAGTCCTCTGGAAGAGCAGTCAGAGCCCTCAACAGCTGAGCCATCTCTCTGGCCCCTTGTAAGTCATTCTAATAAATTCCCTTTTATATATATTGTGGTTATTATTATTCTTGAAATTTGCTACACTCTCTTGTTACCTTTAAATATCCCAAATAAATAACACAGAGACCTTTAGATTTATAATAAGCCCTAAAGAATTAGAGCTGGGCAGATATCAACTCTCTGTGCTATTTTGTCTACTTCCCTGTCAATAACCCCAAGATGCCACTTGCCATGTTCCCCCCGGGGCAGTTCCTACTGCAACAGGTTGGCCCTTATGGCCATGTACTCACAATCCACCTACACCATAGTGACTTCTTCCTTCTTTCTCTTCTCTCTCCCCTCCTTTCCCCTTTCCTTCCCTCCCCTCCCCTCCCCTCCTTTCCTCGTGGTCCCTTCCTGAGAACCTCAAGCCTGGGAACCTTTACTTTGCCACATCCCTTCTGCCCAGCTCAGGCTGTAGGCATCTTTATTAACTGATCTGGGATCACTTGGGGGTCAAGATTTACATAGCATCATTTGGTGTACGTGAGGATCTCCTCATCAGAGAAAACCAGATCTTGGAGGGTCAGTATTTAATATTTAAGTATATAGCAGCACCAGACCAACCCCCCCACATTCAGTCCATAAGTTCTGTATATGTAGTAGATAGGTATACGGTCATTCCATAAGTTCTGTTACTCTAGAGAACCCTGACTAATGCACACTGTATTGTTTAGGATGCATGGATATATGGTGTAAGTATACAGAAATGCAAAGAAATGGAAATGGTCAATTTTTATTTTCATATGATGTTATAAATTCAGAGATCAACACGGGGTGGGGGCTGGAGGTGGGGGGAGAGCTACAACTGAAGATGAGTTGATGTAGCTTCAGTTACATTTGTAACATTGTATCTCTTCTGGGAGGTGGGGATAGATGTGTTTAGAACGCAAGTCTACAAACATGAAGTAATGATTCCTCAAATACAAGACAGTTCACCATCATTTTTAAAATTCAAGACCATGTGATTAGTCATGATTTAAATCAGTCCACTTTGATGGCCCATTCTTCTATCCATGATGGGCTGAGAAGACTGCAGCAGCAGAAAGGTAAGCATGACGTGCTTACAAATGCCAGTTGAGAGAATGGGAGCCTGTGCTCGGCCGTGGTTTGCCTCAGATTCCACTGTGACACCCAGAAGGATATAAATAGTTAAAATTCCTCTGTTGGTGCTTGACTCAAACCTGTTCCCCAGAGGCAACCTTGAGCCACAGTCAGCTTCCAGACATTCCCCTGTGTGTTTGAACAGACATAGCAAGGAGACATGAGGATGGGATTATAAATGTATGACTTGGACAGCAGTAATTCTTTTTTTTTTGGTTTTTCGAGGCAGGGTTTCTCTGTGTAGCCCTGGCTGTCCTGGAGCTCACTCTGTAGACCAGGCTGGCCTCGAACTCAGAAATCCGCCTGCCTCTGCCTCCCAAGTGCTGGAATTAAAGGCGTGCGCCACCACTGCCTGGCTCTAGATATAGAATTAACTATTTAAGATAATTATATTTATAATAAGAAAAACCCCTTGCAAAATAGTGGCAAAAGTTTTCACAAGATTTCCCACTCTTTTCTGCAGTCCTTTGCAGTTCTCTCTCTCTCTCTCTCTCTTTCCTTCTCTCCCTCCCTCCCTCTTCATCCCTCTCCTCCATGGAAATAAACCATTGCTCTACCCAATACATATGCTTCCATATTCATTTGCTCCTTACAGAGATAGTGTGCTTGGTTGTTTTGGGGATGAACAGATGGTTCTAAGCTGCATCTAGTGGTCTATAACTTACTCCTAGAGATGTGTGCACAGCATCCCAACCTCACTCTGTCATTTAGCTGATGTTTATGTGTGACATGTACCATTGGATCAGCGTGGAGCAAGATAGCCAGGCTTCCTAGTCCAACGGGGCTTGCCATTTTGGTGGGAAATTCAGACAACAAACATGTAAACAAGTAAATCAGCTTCAAGTGATTCTAAGCAGTATGAAATGATGTGGGGGTTTTGCGGGAGAAGATTTTTGTTTTTGTTTTTTATCTCTGAGTAGTATTTCACTATAAGGACTTTCTTAACTTGGGAGACCGACTTTAAACCAAGCTACTTGCTTCCTAAATGATATCTGTGTTACACACTGCTGTCCAAAACCCATCACAGGAACATACCCGCACGTCATCAATGTAGGAATGGATAAAGAGAAGGCGGCATATAAGCTCTAGGAAACTCTAGGCAAAGGGGGAAGTTAAATTGTAACATTTTCAAGAAACCAAATGGAACTGCAGGTCAGCCTGTTAAGTGAATTAACTAGATCTGGAAAGACAAATACTGCATGTTCTCACTCATATGTGGAAGCTAGGGATGTGTGTGTGTGCGTGCATTCACACACATAAGTGCACATGCCTGGGAAGATGTCTAAGAACAAAGCATATATATATATATGTATATGTATATGTATATGTATATGTATATGTATATGTATATGTATATGTATATGTATATGTATATGTATATGTATATGTGTGTATATATACACACACACACACACACACACACACACACACAC